ATTTCCCCCTGAAAGAAAAGGTATTTTCTAAACTTGAAATTCATATAATGGCGAAGGTTTAATGTAAAGAATCGGTATCGGGTACCGAAAAGGAAGTATTGGGTACCGAAATCTTTTTTAAGTATTGGGTACCGAAAATTCAGCACATCACTAGCTGTTTCACAAATTCTTATTTATTTATTCTCTAATTACTGGATCCGGTCCGGATTGTTAGGGAAAGAACCTAATATAGAAGTATTACATATATGGGCCAAACATATGGATTAAGTAAACAAGCGTTTCCACATATCTTTCTTATGCCTGGATTATAATGGAAGTAACGGAACGGAGTGAACTGTCACTTAATTATCTATTGTATGGGCAATGAATTCAAACAATTATAATGCACTTGAACGCAACGTAAAACGGAAGCATCTAAAATCAATAGATCCTTACGAATTCGCCGCGATTTGTTACGATTCGCCCCGTGCATTATAATCCAGGCATTATTTGGAGAAAACTTTCACGACAAACCAGGCGACTGTTTACAATGGCACCCTGAAATTGTGCATATGGAAACTGTGCATACGAAATAATGCATATGAAAAAAAACCGAAATAATGCATACGAAAAAACCGAAATAATGCATATATGCACAGTTTCGGTTGAAAACCGAAATAATGCATATGAAAAAAACCGAAATAATGCATATATGCACAGTTTCGTTTGAAAACCGAAATAACGCATATGAGAAAAACGAAGTAATGCATTCATGCACAGTTTCGGTTCAAAACCGAAATAATGCATGTGACAAAAACCGAAGTAATGCATACATGCACAGTTTCGGTTGAAAACCGAAATAATGCATATGAAAAAAACCGAAATAATGCATATATGCAGTTTCGTTTGAAAACCGAAATAACCCATATGAGAAAAACGAAGTAATGCATTCATGCACAGTTTCGGTTCAAAGCCGAAATAATGCATGTGACAAAAACCGAAGTAATGCATACATGCACAGTTTCGACTCAAAACCGATGTAATGCATATGACAAAAACCGAAATAGTGCATACATGAAAACGAACTTCTTTCTGAGTAGGCGGCCTTCGGCCGCGCTTAGGAATTATAACCCTTACTAAGTAGAATTCTCCTTTCTGTGTTGCCGGAAAAGGGGGCCGGAAGTATTTTTGCGCAGAACTTCTCTCTGCGTAGGCGGCCTTCGGCCGCGGTTAGGGATTATAACCCTTACTAAGTAGAATTCTCCTTTCTGTGTTGCCGGAAAAGAAGGGCGGAAGTATTTTTGCGCAGAACTTCTTTCTGCGTAGGCGGCCTTCGGCCGCGCTTAGGGA